AGAAGAAGAAGAATTAAAATAATTAAAATAATTAAAATAATTGAAATAACGTAGCAAGGCCGATCGGTACGAGTCCACGACCAAAATGCTGTACACCACAGCGTTTTTTTTCGTTTTTTTTTTTTTATAATCACAGCTCGATGGCATGGACACACACAGCTCACAAACGAGCACATTCCGTGGCTGATTATTTGGTTAAGACTTTTTTTTTCTTGTTTTTTTTTTTTAATATCGTTTGGTTAGACTCTTTTTTTCTTGTTTTTTTTTGACATATTGTTTGGTTACTCTTTTTTTCTTCTTTTTTTTTGTTCGACTTTCACCAACTCATCAGGAGACGGTAGGTGTGTGCGTGTGTGTGTGTGTGTGTGCCACGGGGCACGTTCACCTTCATATCGGTCTAAGAGTCGTGCCGTCTTTCGGTGAACACAATGCACCGTCTTTGTGACCGCATCTGGACGGAAAGATAGCGTGTGTACAATGTACAGTCATCACAGGAGTGCGTAGTGCTGGGGGGAAGACAGTAGGAAGAATGAAGGCACACGACGCGGGCAAACACGAAGAAAGACGAAGACGGTGAAGAAGCAAGAAGAAGACGAAGACGGAAGAAGGACGACTGAAGAAGAAGGAAGACGAAGAAGGAAGACGAAGAAGGAAGAAGGGAGGAGGGGGAGGAGGAAGAGGAGGAGGAGGCAGAAGAGGAGGAGGAAGAAGGAAGAGAATGACGAAGGCAGAAGAAGAAGGAAGAAGGAAGAAGGAAGAAGAAGGAAGAAGGAAGAAGAAGACGAAGAAGAGCGTCAGCGCAAAAGTAGATAGGGCCTCGCCACACCACTGCGGAAATGAAAAACGAACGAAATGCATCTTTCCGCGAAGAAGGGCAAGATGCATCCGTTACTATGAATAGCAATGGATGCATCTTACCACTTTCTGCGGCAGATGCATTCGTTCTATTTTTGTTTCGACAGTGGTCTGGCAAGGCCCATCGAAGCGAAAGAGGAGGATTAAAAAAAAAAAGAGGATTAAAAAAAAAAGAGGATAAAAAAAAAAAAAAGGATTAAAAAAGGCGGAAACAATAAAGGAAGGACAAAAAGAAAAGGGGGAAAAAAAACAAAAAAACACGTGGAGGAAGTGGAAAGCATACAGTGATTTTTTTATTTTTTTAATTACACGTACAGTGAGAATTACAATGGCCCCTGCGCAAGGAGGACAGCCATATCGAGAAATGGTCTAAATTTCTCTAAACAGTCTTAAGCTATTCACCCAAAAAAAAAAAAAAAAAAGGGGCTACGCCAACGTTAATCCGTTCCGTACCGCGGCTGTGTTGACACACGTGCATCGCTTACACCATGCACGTGTTCGCATGCATGTACGATTCCACGTACGCATATTATACATATACATGAGTCAGTGAAACTCCGACATGACAGTTCGTCACAGCCCCTCGTTTATTGTCCTTTTCTCCCTCTTGTCCCTCTGCGTAAACAGAGCTGCCTACGGTAAACCGTAGGGGCAGAGAGGGAGGGAAAAGAGGAGAGGACAACAAACGAGGGACTGTGACAAACTGTTTCGTCGGAGTTTCACCCCCTCATCAGGAGTCTGAATACTTATATATTGTCACAAAGTTTTCAGAGACCAAAAGCGAAAAAAAACAAATATATAAATATGTTATTAACCTGGATCCACGTGGGCGGCCTTGTACACAAGAGGTTCTGAACAGGGGCAGTTGTAAGGAAGAAAATTAAATTAAGTTTTTTTTTTTGTTTTTTTTTTTTCCCTTGTTTTCTTTCTGTTTTTCGCTTTGGCGCTCTGATATCATGTGACAATATATATATCTATACACATATATATCGTCACAAACAGAGCTGCCCGGTAAACCGTAGGCAGAGAGGAGAGGGAAGGAGACGAGGACAACAAACGAGGGGGGAATGTGGCAAACTGTTTCGTCGGAGTTTCACCGACTCATCAGGAGGAGGCTCTGAAGCCTCGACAGTCTGCAGAATCCCCTAACTGATTACAGTGTAAGTGATAATCTACCTTAACCCCTGCTGTGGTTAAGCATCAACGACTGCCCGACAACTAATATCCCTCGGAGGTGGTGGGGACCACCAACCACTGCCCTCAGCAAGGTACCTGCGACGAAAATCAATCGAAGCAGACTATATCACTCACCCACACCAGATGGAAAACTCCACAGACTGTCAGTTCACATCCCATCAAAAACGAATTAAGGTTTTTTTGTTTTCCTTGTTCTTTTTTTCTGTTTTTTCGCTTTGGCGCTCTGATATCATGTGACAATATATATATATATATCGTCACAAACAGAACTGCCCGGTAAACCGTCGGCAGAGAGAGAGAAGAGGACAACAAACGAGGGGCTGTGACATAGACTATATATATATATATATACAGCCCCTCGTTTGTTGTCCTCTTCTCCCTCTCTGCCTACGGTTTACCGTAGGCAGTTCTATTTGACGATATATATATGAACTTGGTATTACATGAATTATTGTATATACTAAATAAGTAATTCTGTATTAGAAAGAGAAAGATCTATCAATATAATCGATGACAAATACATAGTAACAATAAGAAATTGATTAATTTCTTATAATTGATTAATTTCTTATTGTTATATATCGTCACAAACAGAACTGCCCGGTAAACCGTAGGCAGAGAGAGAGAAGAGGACAACAAACGACGGGCTGTGACAGATATATATATATATTATATATCGTAAAAACAGAGCTGCCTACGGTAAACCGGAGGGCAGAGAGGGAGAAGAGGACAACGAACAGGGGGCTGTGACAGACTGTTTCGTCGGAGGGGGGGGGGGGGGGGGTTTCACTCGTCAGGAGGCTGAACCCTAATAATGGGCCTCGCTCCACTACGCACCAGATTTTTTTTATTTTTATTTTTTTTGGAGGCACTAGATTTTCAAAATGAGAATGATGAATCTTTCCGCTAGAAACATGAGAAGATACACCACCATATTGTTTTTGTCTTTTGTGCGTGTGGGGAGTAGTTGGGGGAGAGAGATTAGAACAAATACTGGTCGATAAACTCTTATTTCCTAAAAAATCATTAAAAAGCACAAACAGCAACAACAACATGCATGCATGCATGCATGCAAAACAAACAAAAAAAAAAAACTGGAAAATGGAAGGAAAAAAAAATTAAAGATAAAAAGGGCAAAACTAGATTGGGTGGTCGACGAAAACGGCAGAAAAAATAATAATAAAGAAAAATAAAATATTGCAGAGGCCAAGTCACATGAATGAATACCACATTCACACAGATCTACGGCCTCTCACCATTACCCGCAAAATGTGCGAAATGAGAACGCATCTTCTGCTAGAACACGGCCAGATGCATCGCCATAACTTTTGTCCCTTCTGCATCTGCTGACTGGTGGACCGAGGCCCCTACATACACACTATCGTTCGAGATCCCAATCACCGATTGGGACCAGTGCTGGGACCCGTGCTGGGAAGTATGGGCCCAGCGGGTTCCTTAGCAAAGAACCGTACATTGTATTCGAGAGGAAGAGTGGTGTACAGCATTCATTATCCTGGATCGACTCCTACCTTCTTCCCCCGAATACAACGTATGGTCATCATAACTGTGTATTGGGGCAACTTTCCGTCCAGATCCAGCGACAATGACCGGGCGTTGTAGTCGGGTGAAGCTGGGTAGGAGATTAACATCATCATCACCCTGACTAAGGGTCAAAACATAACCATATTACCATAACCTTTGGTCAAAACATAACCATATTACCATAACCTTTCTTTTTTTTTTTTTTTTTTTTTTTAACCATAAATTGGTTTTAAAAAAAAAAAAAAAAAAAAAAAAAACAAGGCGACGGACGGTCTAGAACGCACCGGTCTATCTGTGATAGTTGGATGTGACTCCGCGTGCATCAGTGAAAAAAAAAAAAAACAGCTTGTGACACCGACGACGCGAAGGGCCTCGCCACACCAATGTCGAAAAGAAAAGGAAGTACGAGTGCATCTTCCCGCAAAGAATGGCAAGATGCATCCGTTACTATTGAGTAGCAACGGATACATCTTCTTACCACTTTCTGGGGAAGGCTTTCTTTTTTTTTTTTTTTTTTTTTTTTTTTCAACAGCAACCAGACAATCCACATGTCAAGAGGGAGAACCAAAAAAAAAAAGCAAACTCCCCGACTTCCTGTAGACCACAAAATTGGAACATTTCTCGATTTATGCGTATCATCCCTTGCGCAGGGGCCATTTGCTAATCTTCTCTGTATTTATTCAAAAAAAAAAAAAAAAAAAAAATCTCTGTATCGTTCCAATTTTTACGGATGTCCCAAAGGACATTCGGTCTTTTTGGTTTCGACACCAAAAAATGCGGCGAGACCCAAACAACGGAACATCAGGTACAAACAGTGATGAACCCCAACCAAAAAAAAAAAAAAAAAAGAACAATGATTATAATGAAACACGATTACATAAGCGGTCACAGTGGGTGATAGCTAAAACTGACCGGTCACAGGTTATTCGGTAAAAATATATTATACATATATTATACATATATCGTCATATATATATATATATCGTCACAAACAGAGAACTGCCCGGTAAAACCGTAGGCAGAGAGAGAGAAGAGGACAACAAACGAGGGGCTGTGACAAACTGTTTCGTCGGATATATATCGTATATATATATATATATATATCGTCACAAACATATATATATATATATATATTCATTCTAGTTCAACCTGGAATCGAACTCAGGTCTGTATCATTCCCCCCCCCCCAAAAAAAAAAACAAAAAAAACTCAGGTCTGTATTTCGACAGCTGATGGGTGTACGAACTGATCTACGCCCACCGCTGCCATTACCCATTTGACCCCCCCTACCTACCCCCCATACCATAAGTAATCCGAATAATCCAAAAAACTTCGATTTCCCTTCTTTTATTAGGGCGGCGGAGGGGAAGGGGGAGGAGGGGGGAGGGGGAGAAGGAGGAAGGGAGGAGGACGGGGACACTTTATCTCCAGCAAAACCCGCCTCCTTCGCATAAGTTGCTATCCACGAAACAAGGGTAAAAAAAAATTAAAAAAAAATAAAAAAATAAAAAAAAAACAACCTACCTAATTAAGCCTCTAAAGCATAGCCTTAACCTGTTGAACCCCTACTACCCCCGCCAAAATCATTAATCCAAATAATCCGAAGAAATTCCATGCTCCTCTCATTCTATTTGCTGGATTGCCAGTGTAATACCCTAGAGAGTAAAACACTCGACCTACCACCCACAGCATCCCGAACCCTGCAGCTGTCACTGGGTAGGTCAGGCCGCCGAGCAGCAGCAGGCTAAGGAACTGGGGGTAATATTCCAGCGTATTGGCATGCGCTCGCTGATAGCAATTAAACACCGAATCTGGCTTGTCCTCGTACATTGTGGGGTACTTAATTCCCAATTTCTTTCTCTGCCCTGCGACCATTAAAGCCTGCCATTGAACCAGAACGGCACTGGACAAGGCCGTGAGAGTGACGAAGCCAAATTGAGGAGGGAGGAGGGTAATTAGTGACGTGGCCGCCATAGCCGTCTGAGCGACGGGAGCTGCCGAGGCGCAGATCATCGTCGTCCTCCTCCTTCGCTGATCACATGCTATGTCTTCGTGCTGCCACGTGGCAGACAGCAATCTTCCGTCGGGACGGGTGGACCGCAAGCCTGAGCTCAGCTGCAGACACGTCGGGACGCAGGTGCTGCTTGCCAGGCCTTGCTGCGTTGCTTGCACTCTGAGACTCTTCTTCCGGGACAATGACACGTGGCTCGCACACAGGCCGCCGGATGGACGACACGTGGCCTCTGATCGGCCACCGCCCGTGGGATGCCCCAACGCGCTTCGGAAGATTGGCGTCGCCGCCGCCCGAGCTGCCGTCATTGCTGCTGCCGCCGCTGCCATCGCCGCCGTTGATTGCACCCTTCACCTCTCGCCACGTGTTGATTAGATAGACAGACGATGTACACGATCGCTTGATTGCTTGCTTGATTGATTGCTACTGTGAACGTTCGCGGAGGTAACCCACCTCTCTTTCCCTCGCCCCCTTTCCCCGCATCCTGGTGCATGGCACCAAGCGACGTGCATTGCACTTCCCCGGTTTCCTCGAATAGAGCACATGAGTGCTGCAATACGACCTCACGGTAGAAAGCCCAGCTGACCACCACCCTTCTTTTCCCGAGCAGAACGTACGGTCATTTTCGCCGCATCTGGACGGAATTGTGAGCCAAATGCGACCAGAATGCGCGTACGGCAATAGCAGCTACCGATAGGCACCACACAGGAAGCGATCTCTAGGTTTAACGTTAGCATGTACCTGGCCGTCATCACGGCCACGTTCGAGCTAACGTAAGCGCCAGGTGCGAGCTAACGTAGCCTGGCCTGGACCACCACCGCTACCTCCAAGCCTCTCTGTTCTCAACGAAGATAATTGTTTTTTTTTTTTTTTTTTTGAAAACCCTCTTGCAAGGCCTCTATCCCGGTGGTGGTTAAAAAAAAGGGAAAAAAGAGAACCACCAGGGGCGTGGTCCCACTAGCAACGAGGACGGGATCGAATGTCTGAATCTGGACGTGTTTGTGGCGCAGGTGCAGGAAATCGAGATTGAACTGCTTTTCTGCATCTCTGCGTAAAACACATCCAGATTCAGGCCTTCGATCCGATCTCTTTGCTAGTGGGACCTCAGCCCAGGATTGAGGCTTTGGGCGTTGGGCTGCTGAGGCTAGAAATGCAAACCTCCCAGTGGCACGCAAGGTGCATTTGGGAGGTCGTGGGTTACATCGAGTGTCACGTACGCGGGTCAGCATGCTTGGTGTCCTACTCTCTAGATATAGCCGCTGGCCCCTCACGTCAGCATTAGCAGGACCTTGCCCAGTATTGTTGGGTGCTTTGCAGCAACATATGGGCTATTAGACACCCCTAATGTAGGGTGGGGGGGGGGCAGAAGAGGAGGTGCAGGGTCTGGCCACAGTGCTCGGCAGTGGCACTGCTGTGATCACCATGATGAGGGGGTGGTATAACTACCTGGCAGCAACACTACCGGTAGGTGCAAACCTACCCCATGGGTTAGGGAGAGGTCAGGACTGGTGGGTGTTCCTTGGTAGCCTATAGACAGTAGAGAGATGAAGAGAGGAGAAATGTCGAAGCTATGAGGAGATGACAGAGTTGACCCCATAATACAAGCCTGCATAGTTGAAGGTGAGTGTCGCCAACCAAAAAGATATGTTAGGCCAAGCCTTTCCACGACCCCGTAGCTAGAGGCGGCGAGAACTACCGTCTTCCCCCGAACACAACGCGCCCTCAATTTGGCTGTATCTGACCGGAAATGTAGCTTGTATACATTCATTTTTAGGGTGGGTTGTGTTCGGGGGAAGATTGTAAGCCAGGCCGGATACTTGCACCAGTACCCCAAGCAGCTGTCCTTTAAACCACCAGTACCTCTCCCAGCTATAAAGAAAAGTCGTGGCCATTAACGTGCCGCGACTTTCGGGGGTCGGTAGCTCCAACGCCCGGTCGGTACAATTTTGCACCCCCCCAAAAAAAATCGAAAAAAAAAACCTTTTTCTTCTACCCAAAAGAAAAAAAAAAACGAAACGAAAACTTCACATGGGGGGCGGGGGGAGAGAGAGAGAGAGAGAGAGAGAGAGAGAGAGAGAGAGAGAGAGAGAGAGAGAGAGAGAGAGAGAGAGAG